CAGTTCTAGAATGTTAAATGAGACCAATTTCTAGAACAACTGTTCTGGAACATTTATGAAGGTTAGTTTTAGAACAATGCCAGAACAGATGTTCTAGAACACAAATATGGAGCAGTTCTAGAACTGTTCTTGATGGTCTAGAACAATTCCAAAACTGTTCCAATTTATAGACCATATTTCCGTGGGGGTAAATCCCAATAGGATGATACAATGGTATGATGGTAATGCATTCACCAATTCCAGGAACGGATATGAAAAGGTATGGGGTCACCTCCCCGACCTTGTGGGTTTTCCCTGGGTACTCAGGTGTCCTGCCACAATAAGGCTCTTCATGTGCTCATGCCTATCAAGGCCAACAAGACTGATTGACGTAAGATGGAATAAATTGTTTGGCAATGGGTATGAATTAAATATATGCATTTTTTAGCCCAATTAAGGATGTGCTAGTTATCCAATCCACAGTTAAGCTACAGTATAAGTTGAATTAAAAACTTCAAGACTTCATGTTAAAACTTCTAATAATTGATACTAAAATTTAACCCTGAGGTTAAGTTATGTAATAATTCAGCCTTGGGTTGTTATCAAAGTAATATATTAACCTCAAGGTTTCAGCTTTAAGATGATGTATTTCAGGGATTGAATATATCATTATGTATCTTTGAGGTTAAATTATCATAGAATTTGGCTCATTGAAATTACCCGAATTCATTCTCTGACTGACAAGTTATATTCCTTACCACGGCGCATAATTCTGTCTGTTTGATGGCATGTGAGTGTATGTGAGCTGTCTAGAGAGAAGCCTAATTCTAGAGTTTAGGATCGACCATCCATGGGACATGTCACCTGCTGTGTTCTACACAACAGATGCATACTAAGCATTTAATGAAGTGTTCTCATACTGATGTTTGCCATTGTCAGGGTAACATGTTGTTATACCTTAGCACAAAAAGTATGTTTGTCAGAAGCTGCAGAGATATTTTCTTATCTCAGGGTTGATCATCTATCTCTAAATTTTCTTACCTCTCAGTGAATATAAACAGTGAACTAGATATTTTCTTATGTCGCTAGATTTACCTATATACCATTCAGTGAATGTAAATAGTAAAATATGTATTTACGTATGTAGCTAGATTTACCTATATACCATTCAGTGAATGTAAATAGTAAAATTTGTATTTACGTATGTAGGTAGATTTACCTATATACCATTCAGTGAATGTAAATAGTGAAAAAGGTATTATTTTGTGTTGGTAGATTTACCTATATACCATTCAGTGAATGTAAGTAATAAAATATATACGTTCTATGTTGGTTGATTTACCTATATACCATTCAGTGAATATTTTAGTGAAATAGGTATTCTTTTGTGTTGGTAGATTTACCTATATACCATTCAGTGAATGTAAGTAATAAAATATATACATTCTATGTTGGTAGATTTACCTATATACCATTCAGTGAATGTGAATAATAAAATATATACGTTCTATGTTGGTAGATTTACCTATATACCATTCAGTGAATGTAAGTAATAAAATATATACGTTCTATGTTGGTAGATTTACCTATATACCATTCAGTGAATGTAAGTAATAAAATATATACGTTCTATGTTGGTAGATTTACCTATATACCATTCAGTGAATGTAAGTAATAAAATATATACGTTCTATGTTGGTAGATTTACCTATATACCATTCAGTGAATGTAAGTAATAAAATATATACGTTCTATGTTGGTAGATTTACCTATATACCATTCAGTGAATGTAAGTAATAAAATATATACGTTCTATGTTGGTAGATTTACCTATATACCATTCAGTGAATGTAAGTAATAAAATATATACGTTCTATGTTGGTAGATTTACCTATATACCATTCAGTGAATGTAAGTAATAAAATATATACGTTCTATGTTGGTAGATTTACCTATATACCATTCAGTGAATATATTAGTGAAATAGGTATTCTTTTGTGTTGGTAGATTTACCTATATACCATTCAGTAAATGTCAGTAGTAAAATATATACGTTCTATGTTGGTAGATTTACCTATATACCATTCAGTGAATGTAAGTAATAAAATATATACGTTCTATGTTGGTAGATTTACCTATATACCATTCAGTGAATATATTAGTGAAATAGGTATTCTTTTGTGTTGGTAGATTTACCTATATACCATTCAGTAAATGTCAGTAGTAAAATATATACGTTCTATGTTGGTAGATTTACCTATATACCATTCAGTAAATGTCAGTAGTAAAATATATACGTTCTATGTTGGTAGATTTACCTATATACCATTCAGTAAATGTCAGTAGTAAAATATATACGTTCTATGTAGGTAGATTTACCTATATACCATTCAGTAAATGTCAGTAGTAAAATATATACGTTCTATGTAGGTAGATTTACCTATATACCATTCAGTGAATGTCAGTAGTAAAATAGGAATTGTCTTATGTAAGTAGATTCATAAGAAGCATTTCTACTGATTTGCTGAGTCATGTCACAATTGCTGAAAGCTGGAATATTACCTGGTAGTACAATTTGTTCTGTAAAAGTCGGGGGTGAAATAGTCTATGGCAGAAAGCTTAAAAAGCTGAAGTAATCAGTATATATGGTCATTGTTACATTGTAGTTGTGTTATAAAATTGTGTGTGTTGTGTGTCAGCTGAACTGTGTACCACAGCCTTAGTTTCTCCTATCAGTCAGTAACATCTATGTGATTTTGTAATCGGAGATAACAGTGTGTTGAACCAAGTATTATAGAGTACAACAAAGATTTCTTTTAAGTTGTTAGAAGATATTTCGATCATTCAAAAAAATATGATATACTAAAACAATGAAGTCTCCAAAATATTTCAACTTATGACTTAAAATATGTCCTTTTTGTACATTTTGACTCCCATAAAGAATTTAGCATAAAAAGGATTATGATAACTTCTCAAGTCTGGAATTTTATTGTACATGATAGGACCTTCGATATGTCCACAATTGCACTTCTTATGCTATGTAAGTGCATATAAGATTTAAAAGTGCCTAGCTTCAAGCTATTAAACTAGCTATTTCAACATATATTAAAATGTAAATCCTATTTTCACAAAGTAATACTGATATTCATCCTGTCTTGAACAGAACTATGCAATGTTGTTGTGTTGATCACCAGAAACCTGGATACATAGCTCAGGTGGCATAGCTGCTATTGGTAGTCTCTGAATTTCAAGGTGGAACCCAAAGCCTAACGTAATTACTGTTGTTTCAATATTTATACAGATCAGAGTTACTGCACCATCATCGGTCCAGGCGGTGTTATTGTCTGTTTCACTAGTAGCTTGATTCTGTGTATACCACATAAAACAAATGACTTGTAGAGTCAGTATGTTTTTTCTCCTACACTTACAAATCAAAGAAATATGTGCATGTATATGTTTAGCAGACACTAAACATATGTACATAAATACTGGTACAAATCTACTTTTTCAATGTATCTCATGTTCTATACACTAAACAAAAAGTTCTTTCCTTTATAATTATTATCAGCTGAAATTACACTGACATGCATTGGAGACGAGTATTTTATTTCCCATGATAAATACACATGCACAAGTTCAGATAAACCTGAGACCCTGACTATTGACTGCTGTTTACAATGAGTGTGTAATCTCACAAGACCAGAGTGTTAGTCCCAGATCACCCGGAAGGTTTTTTTCCTACAGCAAAATGTGGTGGTTTCCTGAAGAAAAATAACGCACCAATGTGGTTTTGTATATATGATTGGTGACTTGCTTCCTTATACTTTTGATAGTTAAAGATACAAGGTTTCGTATATATTCACACCTAATTTCAGACTTGGTGTGAGAAGTGTCAATGAGTCAGACTTTTTTTCCTCTACATTTTTGATAGTTATGTAGAAAACAGAGTGTATTGGGCAGAAGTGTCTGAATAATGGTTAAAAAAAACCATTCAAAATCTTCTTAAATATTAAATATCCCTCCCAAAAAAATGTTCTGGTGAAATGGATAAGTTCAAATGTAAAATTTTTGATATAAACAGCTTCCCTGATTTGAAAAGAAATAAGGACTGACATACAGTGTCAGAAGTATGATCGTCTAGGACTGACATACAGTGTCAGAAGTCTGATCATTTAGGACTGACATACAGTGTCAAAAGTATGATCATATAGGACTGACATACAGTGTCAGAAGTATGATTGTCTAGGGCTGACATAGAGTGTCAGAAGTCTGATCATCTAGGACTGACATACAGTGTCAGAAGTCTGATCATCTAGGACTGACATACAGTATAAGAAGTATGATCATCTAGGACTGATAACAGTGTCAGAAGTATGATCATCTAGGACTGACATACAGTGTCAGAAGTATGATCATCTAGGACTGACACAAAGTGTCAGAAGTATGATCCTGTAGGACTGACATACAGTGTCAGAAGTATGATCATCTAGGACTGACATACAGTGTCAGAAGTATGATCCTGTAGGACTGACATACAGTGTCAGAAGTATGATCCTGTAGGACTGACATACAGTGTCAGAAGTCTGATCGTCTAGGACTGACATACAGTGTCAGAAGTATGATCCTGTAGGACTGACATACAGTGTCAGAAGTATGATCCTGTAGGACTGACATACAGTGTCAGAAGTCTGATCGTCTAGGACTGACATACAGTGTCAGAAGTATAATCCTGTAGGACTGACATAAGTGTCAGAAGTATGATCCTGTAGGACTAACATACAGTGTCAGAAGTCTTATCATCTAGGACTGACATACAGTGTCAGAAGTATGATCCTCTAGGACTGACATACAGTGTCAGAAGTATGATCCTGTAGGACTGACATACAGTGTATTATCTTGTAGGGCTGGCATATACAGACCTAGAAGTTTGATTCTTTAGGACTTTAAGTACTGCCATACAATGTCAGAAGTAAGTGCCATTCATCATTACAATATTTCATTTTGTTATTTTACATTTCCAGATCTACTGTTTGGCAGCACCTCCAACACGGTCTTTAACAGTGATTTTTCGACTACATCTACATCTGCTGACTGGAGCACCTATAGCCCTTTTGTTTCCAGTCACTAACACAAGACTGGTAAGTTTTACTTGGTCCTTATCATCATCACTTATCATCATCACTCACTTGTAAAGAAGCTGGGATGCAGGGCTTTTTTACTTTCTCCAAATGAAATAATTTGGTCCACTTTTTAAGGTCACAGAATCTGCTGTGACCAAATTCTTGAAACATCTTTTGGGTAACAAAAATGGCAGAGGTTATGACCTTCAGTTAGAATTATGCATGAATAAAAGGCACTCATACTTGTTAAAATAAATGACTTAGAATTATGTTCAAGATCATGGGGATCAAATGTGTAAAAATTTTCAACCATCAATTTCCAGGTGCTGTATACAAAGATATTTTTGCCCTTAGCTTATTTTCACCCTTGCACCGTTATACATTAATTTACCGCAACTTAATTTCACTCTTTGGGGATTATATAAATATGTTATATACCAGGTATGTGTAACAAGTTTTCGCCCCATCTTAAATTTGCACTCCCTGTTCATCAGCAAAAAGGGCGAAAACTAAACAAGGGTGAATATTTCCTGGTATACAGTAAATCAGAAGGCACAGGGTGAGGATTTCTGGCTAATATTACACTGGAATGGAGACTTATCCAGTTTCATTGAAATAGATAGCCTTATCTCACTTAAAAGGTCATTGATGTTGAACAACTTGTATCCTTCAAAAACGTTTTTTGAAGAACCAAAATGTCAAGGGTGAGGCTAGTGAATCAGTAGCAAGGAGCTATCAAGTTGGTTCAAATTATCTGCCTTGACCAACATTCTTGAATTACCTATGTACCCAAGGTGATGTTATTCCAGCTGTAGCATACTGGAAGGAAGAGGATTAGGTTAGGAATAAACATTTAAAGTTGTCTTAATAAGCTCTTCTACCATAGTGTCTTTCTGTAAGTGATACAGGCCTGTTGGGCTTCTGGATGTGTTTGGCGTCATAACTGTATCTTCACATAGAATGGTGGTGAATTTGATAGATTAGATCTGTTGATGTTGATTTAGGAAAAATTCAATAATACCACACTCATTGATGATTGAACCATTAATAAAATATGTATCTTTAATGAGAGTTCATAGCCTGAGTACCACAGATCCATCACATTGTCAATACATTTACCAGTATAGATTGAATACCAATTAATAGTCTGGGTCATTGGAAATCTAACATCAGTTCTATACTATTTAATTTTGTTATAAGTGGTGATTGTCAGTTAGGTACATCGAAGACTGACTGTATACTACAACATGATATACATATGCAGGAAACAGCTTATTACAATTAATGAAGGCCTAGTTAGCAGATAACAAAACTAACACTGTTTTGATAGTTATAAATAGAATTATCATTATATGATATATTTATATACATATTCGCAAAGGTTCCATTTTCCTTGTGATTCCATTTTCCTGGTGGCTTCAGTGATGTCATAATCAATAGACAGATATAATGACCAGACTATTCAATACATATTTGATACACTGTGTCAGTACTAAGGTTTGTTTGATACACTGTGTCAGGGTTAAGGTTTGTTTGATACACTGTGTCAGGGTTAAGGTTTGTTTGATACACTGTGTCAGTACTAAGGTTTGTTTGATACACTGTGTCAGGGTTAAGGTTTGTTTGATACACTGTGTCAGGGTTAAGGTTTGTTTGATACACTGTGTCAGTACTAAGGTTTGTTTGATACACTGTGTCAGGGTTAAGGTTTGTTTGATACACTGTGTCAGGGTTAAGGTTTGTTTGATACACTGTCAGTACTAAGGTTTGTTTGCTACACTGTATCTGTACTAAAGTTTGTTTGATACACTGTGTCAGTACTAAGGTTTGTTTGATACACTGTGTCAGGGTTAAGGTTTGTTTGATACACTGTGTCAGGGTTAAGGTTTGTTTGATACACTGTGTCAGTACTAAGGTTTGTTTGATACACTGTGTCAGGGTTAAGGTTTGTTTGATACACTGTGACAGTACTAAGGTTTGTTTGATACACTGTGTCAGGGTTAAGGTTTGTTTGATACACTGTGTCAGGGTTAAGGTTTGTTTGATACACTGTGTCAGGGTTAAGGTTTGTTTGATACACTGTGTCAGGGTTAAGGTTTGTTTGATACACTGTGTCATACAGGTTTGTTTGTACAGTACTAAGGTTTGTTTGATACACTGTGTGTCTAAGGTTTGTTTGCTACACTGTGTCAGTACTAAGGTTTGTTTGATACACTGTGTCAGGGTTAAGGTTTGTTTGAAACACTGTGTCAGGGTTAAGGTGTGTTTGTTACACTGTGTCAGGGTTAAGGTTTGTTTGATACACTGACAGTACTAAGGTTTGTTTGATACACTGTGTCAGGGTTAAGGTTTGTTTGATACACTGTGTCAGGGTTAAGGTTTGTTTGATACACTGTGTCAGGGTTAAGGTTTGTTTGATACACTGTGTCAGGGTTAAGGTTTGTTTGATACACTGTGTCAGTACTAAGGTTTGTTTGATACACTGTGTCAGGGTTAAGGTTTGTTTGATACACTGTGTCAGGGTTAAGGTTTGTTTGATACACTGTGTCAGGGTTAAGGTTTGTTTGATACACTGTGTCAGTACTAAGGTTTGTTTGATACACTGTGTCAGTACTAAGGTTTGTTTGATACACTGTCAGTACTAAGGTTTGTTTGCTACGCTGTATCTGTACTAAAGTTTGTTGGATACACATTGTCAGGGTTAAGGTTTGTTTGATACACTGTGTCAGGGTTAAGGTTTGTTTGATACACTGTGTCAGGGCTAAGGTTTGTTTGATACACTGTCAGTACTAAGGTTTGTTTGATACACTGTGTCAGTACTAAGGTTTGTTTGCTACACTGTGTCAGGGTTAAGGTTTGTTTGATACACTGTGTCAGGGTTAAGGTTTGTTTGATACACTGTGTCAGTACTAAGGTTTGTTTGATACACTGTCAGTACTAAGGTTTGTTTGATACATTGAGTCAGTACTAAGGTTTGTTTGATACACTGTGTCAGTACTAAGGTTTGTTTGATACACTGTGTCAGGGTTAAGGTTTGTTTGATACACTGTGTCAGGGTTAAGGTTTGTTTGATACACTGTCAGTACTAAGGTTTGTTTGCTACACTGTGTCAGGGTTAAGGTGTGTTTGATACACTGTGTCAGGGTTAAGGTTTGTTTGCTACACTGTGTCAGTACTAAGGTTTGTTTGATACACTGTGTCAGGGTTAAGGTTTGTTTGATACACTGTGTCAGGGTTAAGGTTTGTTTGATACACTGTGTCAGGGTTAAGGTTTGTTTGATACACTGTGTCAGGGTTAAGGTTTGTTTGATACACTGTGTCAGTACTAAGGTTTGTTTGATACACTGTGTCAGTACTAAGGTTTGTTTGATACACTGTGTCAGTACTAAGGTTTGTTTGATACACTGTGTCAGGGTTAAGGTTTGTTTGCTACACAGTGTCAGGGTTAAGGTTTGTTTGATACACTGTCAGTACTAAGGATTGTTTGATACATTGAGTCAGTACTAAGGTTTGTTTGATACACTGTGTCAGTACTAAGGTTTGTTTGATACACTGTGTCAGTACTAAGGTTTGTTTGATACACTGTGTCAGTACTAAGGTTTGTTTGATACACTGTGTCAGGGTTAAGGTTTGTTTGATACACTGTGTCAGGGTTAAGGTGTGTTTGATACACTGTGTCAGGGTTAAGGTTTGTTTGATACACTGTGTCAGGGTTAAGGTTTGTTTGATACACTGTGTCAGGGTTAAGGTTTGTTTGATGCACTGTGTCAGGGTTAAGGTTTGTTTGATACACTGTGTCAGGGCTAAGGTTTGTTTGATACACTGTGTCAGTACTAAGGTTTGTTTGATACACTGTGTCAGGGTTAAGGTTTGTTTGATACACTGTGTCAAGGTTAAGGTTTGTTTGATACACTGTGTCAGGGTTAAGGTTTGTTTGATACACTGTGTCAGGGTTAAGGTTTGTTTGATACACTGTGTCAGGGTTAAGGTTTGTTTGATACACTGTGTCAGGGTTAAGGTTTGTTTGATACACTGTGTCAGTACTAAGGTTTGTTTGATACACTGTGTCAGGGTTAAGGTTTGTTTGATACACTGTGTCAGGGTTAAGGTTTGTTTGATACACTGTGTCAGGGTTAAGGTTTGTTTGATACACTGTGTCAGGGCTAAGGTTTGTTTGATACACTGTGTCAGGGTTAAGTTTTGTTTAATACACTGTGTCAGGGTTAAGGTTTGTTTGCTACACAGTGTCAGGGTTAAGGTTTGGTTTGTTTGTTTGATACACTGTGTCAGGTTTGTTTGTTAAGGTTTGTTTGATACACTGTGTCAGGGTACACTGTGTCTAAGGTTTGTTTGATACACTGTGTCAGTACTAAGGTTTGTTTGCTACACTGTGTCAGGGTTAAGGTTTGTTTGATACACTGTGTCAGTACTAAGGTTTGTTTGATACACTGTGTCAGGGTTAAGGTTTGTTTGATACACTGTGTCAGTACTAAGGTTTGTTTGATACACTGTGTCAGGGTTAAGGTTTGTTTGATACACTGTGTCAGTACTAAGGTTTGTTTGATACACTGTGTCAGGGTTAAGGTTTGTTTGATACACTGTGTCAGGGTTAAGGTTTGTTTGATACACTGTGTCAGGGTTAAGGTTTGTTTGATACACTGCGTCAGTACTAAGGTTTGTTTGATACAGGGTTAAGGTTTGTTTGATACACTGTGTCAGGGTTAAGGTTTGTTTGATACACTGTGTCAGTACTAAGGTTTGTTTGATACACTGTGTCAGTACTAAGGTTTGTTTGATACACTGTGTCAGGGTTAAGGTTTGTTTGATACACTGTGTCAGTACTAAGGTTTGTTTGATACACTGTGTCAGTACTAAGGTTTGTTTGATACACTGTGTCAGTACTAAGGTTTGTTTGATACACTGTTTGATACACTGCATCAGTACTAAGGTTTGTTTGATACACTGTGTCAGTACTAAGGTTTGTTTGCTATACTGTGTCAGGGCTTAGGTTTGTATGT